GGGGCGATGACCGGGGTCTCTGGGGCGCACCCTCCACGCGCGCTCGGCTGCGCCCAGCTGGACACAGTGCTCTGAGCAGCCACCCTCGGACTCCCGCCGAGATACCCTCTTGCCTCAGTTGCTGCCGGACCCGGACGCCAGTCGTTCCCGGGGCCGAGCCCCTTCTTGTCGCGCCCTCATGGCCAAGCCTCTGCTGCTGGTTGTCTGCCTGGCTCTGGGTGTGGCTCCCGGCTGCGTGTCCGGCGTTGTCCTCGCAGGAGCCAGGGAGCCCCCCACCGGGCAGACGGTGGCACCCCCGGAGGCCGAGACCCTGCAGAACGAGGCGGACAACCAGGAGAACGTCTTGTCTCAGGTAGGCACGGTACCCTGCCACCTGCCTGTCCGGATCAGGTGTGCCAAGAGCCAGGAGGCTCAATGAAGGCAGTTGCTTCTGGTTGATCAGAATATTTTCTTAGACGGGGCATGGGTCCTCCTCTCAAAGTCATGGGGTCCTTCGAGGTGATGGAGTCAGGAGACGGTGCAGAAGTCAGAGAGAACAATGCAAGCCCCTTGGCGCAGGGCTGGGGAAAGGAGGCCACCTCTGGTCTGCATGGCCATGGGTCCGAACAGGAATGTGAAAGGCAGGTGTTGCCAGAGGCAGATGGCAGGACCCCTGGGAGCTGTTTCACTGCAGGAGTGAGATACCCTGGAGATGGGGTGAATGTGGCCAGAGAGCAACATGTGTGATGAGTGTGAGGTCCCCAACACAGAGGGACTGATGACCCCTGACTAGGGAGGTAGCATGGAAATGCAGACCCACCCAGGGCTGGCAGATGGGTGGGGGGAGTGACAGCTGATAGGGATGGCTTTATGAAGTGTCCCTTTACAAAGGACTTTCCTTGTTTTATGACTCAGTCCTCATACACCCTATTCCCAGTCCACAGCTAAGGACCATCAGGCTGGGAACAGCTGAGAGTGGGCAGAACCAGAGTTTCCAACACTCTTAGCCCAGACCCCTTGCCTGTCAGGGACAGCTCTCTCTGGGCTGTTTATTTCATGCTCCCCAGAGCCAGCACTATGACATGAGGTGGGTGTCACCATGATCTAAAGACAGGGTGGCTGAGAAAGGACCCTGGAGTGGGTAGCTGCCTGCACCTCCACAAACCCTGGCACTGGGGCTCTTACCAAACACCGTCTCCTGGGCCTTCCCTTAATAACGATGCTGACATATGCCTGTATGTACCCACCCTCAACCTCACACTGACCCCTACATCCAAAAGACAGAAACTCCTGACATGGGGGCTCTGCAGGGCCACTGGCGAAGATTTCCTGGCAGCTGAGCCTCTGGAAGGGTCTCGGTACAGGTTAGGGAGGACACCAAGAGGAATTTCAGAGGGCGGACAATGATTGTCAACTCAGCCACCAGTCACCCTGAACTACACTGCCTTCATCCACTGAACCACTGTCTTTGACAACAACCCCCCCAAAAATATTAGCCCGGCTGGGTGTGGCTCAGCGGCTGAGTGTCAGCCTAGGATCCAGGAGATCATGGTTTGATTCCTAGTCAGGGCACATGCCCGTGTTGGGGGCTCAATCCCCAGTTGGGGGCGTACAGGAGGCAGCCGATCAATGACAACTCTCATCAGTGATGTTTCTCTCAATCTTTCTCCCTCTCCCTTCCTCTCTCTGAAATCAATAAAGGTATAAATAAATACATATATATTAGTGTTAGAAGAAACCCAACCTTTGCAAAAAAACAAAACAAAACTTGGCAAGCCTATTCCCTCAACCAGCATCCCAGGAACATTTCCCCTGCAGCAGGCTCATGACCTGCCAGGGGGTCAGGAGTGGGACAAAAGGACCCTATGTCAGTGCCTAGAACGGTAGCCTGGCTTTGGGGTGCAGGCCCTGCTGGAGAGGAGCTGGGAGGAGCCTGTTCCTCCACAAGTGCCCAGCAGGGTGGCTCCTGGGGCCTGCTGTGGTGTGTCCCTGCCTGGAGGGGCTGGCGGGGCCAGCGCTCTGAGGAAATGGTTCGCATTGTAGAAGCAGAAAGGGCTGCCAGTTTGCATTCCTAGCTTTGGCCTGGAGTTTGAGTTCAGAAGCTGCTCTAGGAGTCAAATAAATACTTAAGCTGAGTAATCCTTACCGACTTCCCCACCCAGTTCCCTTTCTCCAAATCTAACCCATCCTTCGACGCCCAGGTCAAATGCCACCTCCTCTGAGAAGTCTTCCTGGTGCTGGCTGGTGCACTGTGGCCCTGGCTGAGCTCCAACTGCGCCAGGCACACGGGGACGTGCATCTTGCCTGCCACGACTGTCCTTCCCTCCCCTGTGGGCTGTGGTCCTCGAGAGCAGCAATCAACCGGGCTCATCTCCTCACCCTCCGGCACCAGCGTGGTCCGGCCCGAGGGGCCCTCAGTGCCGGAGGGGAGTGGGTTGGGAGGCAGCCGTCTTCAAGCCTGCGCATCAGTGGGCCAGCTCTGTCGGTCCCGTCTCATTGCTCTAAGCCGGGGCTGAGGCCCCTGAGAAACCCACAGCCTCCCAGGACAAGGAGGAAGCAGCACATGGTGCCTTCAAGGGAATGTCACAGTCGCAGGTGGTGTTGCGATGACTCTTCATGCCATGGTCAGAGCTGTCTGAGGTCTCTGGCCTGGTGAGTAGAGAGCCTTTTCACGGGCCATGTCCGCATGCCCCACCTTCCTCTCTCTGTCTGTCTAGTTGCTGGGGGACTATGACAAGGTCAAGGCCGTGTCCGAGGGCTCCGACTGCCAGTGCAAGTGTGTAGTGAGACCCCTGGGCCAAGACGCCTGCCAGAGGGTCAAGGAGGGGGCCTCTGGGAAGGAGGACTTCTACACCGTGGAGACTGTCACCTCCGGCTCATCCTGCAAGTGTGCCTGTGTCGCTCCGCCCTCCGCCCTCAACCCCTGCGAGGGGGATTTCAGGCTCCAGAAGCTTCGGGAGGCTGACAGCCGGGACTTGAAGGTAGGACCTGGTGGGGAATGCCATGGGTGAGGGGGCACCTGAGGGAGCCTTGAGTCTAACAAGCCTGGGATCGTAGGCCTTTGAGTAAATGGACCTGCTTTAGCCTTTACACAAACTGATCACTTTCAGTCCTGACATCCAAGGGAGATGCTGAGAGCCAAGTATGCCCGTCTTTCTGAAGGAGCCAGTGAGGCAGGGCCTGGGGGCAGCTGCTAGGCCCAGTGGCCTAAAGAACTTGGCATTCCTCCCTGGAGCACTGCCTCGGTTGACACCAGCATGCACCCAAAGAGGCAAGGGACACACACAGTCCTCAGTGCAAGGGCTGGGTGACACTGGGAAGGAGGGCCCTGGGTCCGGTCATCAAGCTGTGGTCCTCGATCCTGGTCCATAGGACAGGAGGCTCAGGCCTACCCAGGGCAGCCCTAAGGGTTGGCCAGGGCCTCATCTGTTCCCCCTGCCCCCTTCCCTTGCAGTGTGGGCAGCAGGGAGGAGCTTGGTTTGGGGGTCAGACAGGCAGGTTCAGGTCATTGCTCTGCCACCACTTGCATCATCAACTCAGGTCATTTCCTTGTCTGGCCTGAGCCCCCTTGAATGAAAAGTGAGAATAGTATCACCTTCCTTGTGGGATTGTTATGAGTGTTGAGATGACAACCGTCCAGCACACTGTTGGACCAACACAGACACACACTGCATTAATGAATGGCCCTGCAAAGTGCCCCTGGCCACTGGCGGTCATTGATACCTCTTTAAGCAGGACGGTGTTAAGCAAACAGTGAGAGACCCAGGATTCAGCCACACCCCTCAGAGCTGCCGCTCTGCCCTGAGGCACAGTCACTGGGTATAGGGTAGAACACTGGGGGCTCCTGGAACAGGAATCAGAACATCACAGTACCTGAGAACCAGGCACCCTTTCGTGGCCTTACCCAGGGGTCAGCTGCCTCTGTCTGGTGGGGAGCAAGACCTTCCAAACCCAGGTGTGTGGTACTTGAGTTCTGTCTCTAATCCTGGGGCTGGGAGTTGGGCAGGGAGCAGAGGTGCAGGCTGTGTCCAGCAGTCTGTTCCAGGAGGCCCTCAGTGGTAGGCTCGGTGAAGCATCTGCCCTCTGCCAGAGCCTGCCCACAAGCCCTGGGTGCACCAGAGCCTCGGCTACCTTCCTCCAGGGCCTCTGTACTGGCAGGAAGGGCAGCACCGGAGGACCTGAGAAGACTGTGCCGTGATAGCTTGCCGCCCCAGAGGTGGGTCACGCGGCTCTTGTAAACCGGGGTCAGCTTAGCTTTCAGTGCTAAGGAAAAGCATGGGTCTCTTGGCCTCAGCAGACCATGAAGGTGAGCGTGTGGGGGTGGGAGTCTATCCACAAGGCACGGAGCTCACAGCCACTTGGCTGAGTATCCACAGATCACCCGCTGTGGGCCAGGCGCTATGCTAACAAAGAACGGAAAACATAGGCACTACTTACAAAAAGCTCGCAGTTTAGTAGGAAAGACAGACATGCCTGCGTGGACAGAGTCACTAAGAGGAATAAACTGTTTTACTTGTCCTTGTAGGGTTCTTCCACTTGCTCACCCAAGATCCAGTAGGCAGATACACCTACGCCACTGCATTTGCCTGCGTGGCCGCCTACACAAGTGCCAGCCTCTGCGGGCCTCTCAGCTCCTGGCTGGGGCTTCCCTGCTAGTCTCGCCTGGGTCTGTCTGCCCAAACTAACCCACCCTTGTCTATAGCTTGCCACCATCATCGACATGCTGGAAGGGGCCCTCTATGGCCTGGACCTCCTGAAGCTGCATTCGGTCACCACCAAGCTGGCGGGGCGCGTGGACAGGCTGGAGGAGGTAAGGAGAGGTCTAGGTCTCCATGTCTTTCTCTGGATAGAGCCCAGAAGTGTATCCAATCTCCCACATGTGTTTTCAGAAGGCACATTGTTGGTGACCAAGAGAATCAGTGAACCATAATATAAATATCTTCTTTTTCATACAGAAGAACCAATGTGGCTATAGTCAAGGGGTAGGTCCCCCTAATATGGACAGTCATCACAGGCCTGGGGCTTCCTAGGTCTTGGCTAGCACCTGACATGGGCTGGATGCTCTACAGCTGTCTGCTTGGGGAGCACTGACCTCAGCAGCTGGCAGCTCCACCCCAGGCTGAATGCGGTCTCTGTCAGCTGTGGTCAGAGGGATTGGGCCACGTCCTGCTTGTGCTGACTGTCAGCACCAGCTGTTTCAGGGGCTGGAGACAGCTGTCAGCAGGGATGGCTATCCCCGGCCACCTGGTCTTAGTTGTGTCCTGGAGGGCTCAGAGAAGGGAATGGCAGGCTGAGCTGCCGGGAACTCCAGCCCTCCCACTGGGGTCTATGACCCCCACACTTGCTCGTATCACTCCCACGAGGAAGCCTGTTCCCTTTGCCCGCAGGCCTGCTTTCTTCATCCAGGCCCTGTGCACATCCAGCCACCTACCTATGGGCCAGGCACCTCCAGATGTGGGGGCCCCTGCTTGGCCCAGCTGCCATCTCGCGTGGTCTGCTCCAAGTGTCTGGGCATCTCTTTACAACACACGGCTTGGGTCCCCACCCTGCTCCCTGCCCCCAGGGCCCCTCCCACTCTACCTAGCCCGTGGGTGCCAAGCTGCAGCTTTGCCTGGTGAGAAAGGCAAGTATCATAATTCCTGCTTTTTCCTACCTGGGACCAGAGAGGCCCCCACTTGCCTATGTGGAGGCGCCCCCACACCCAGGGCTGCCCCTCCAGCACAAGGCACCTGATCTGTGCACACCTCTTAGTCCCCTGTTGGGCCTCACCCAAGGATTCAGGACAGACTTCCCAGGTCTCCAGCCCCCACGGCTCCTAGGCCAGCTGGTCAGCCCTTCTTCCCCTCCGCCCATCCTCCTCCCAGGAATCCTTGCGGGGACCACAGGGTGAGCTTGCCCTGCTAGATATGCACCTTCCCACCACAGCGCCGTGTGGCCCATGCGCCTGTACCTGTCATGGTTGCCGCTGTCCCAGGGAAAAGCCTGAGCCTGAGGTCACAGGGTTCTCCCTTCTGCAGGGTGGGACCGAGAGTGCCCAGTGTGGGGGCATACCCTGCACCCCTGAGAAGCGCCCCACACAGGCCTTTGGTGTGAGGGGAACAGAGCCCAGGAGGAGACCAGGATGAGGGTGGTAGGGGGACAGCCGATGGAGTGATGCTACCGCCAGACTGGCGCTTATTCAGGCAGCGGGCAGGCTCTGCTCTTCCCATGAGGCAAGTGGCTTCTGGGCCCCTCTGGGCTCTGGGGTCCAGGCTGCCTCCAGTCTGCTCTGTGAAAACCCAGAAATGGGCTATAAATCAGTGACCAGGGGCCTCCAGGGGCCGAGCAATCCCAATGTGTGGGGCCCCATGCCAGTGCACAGCCAGTGCCTACTCTCAAGCTGTCAGGAATCATGGGCCTTGTTTGGGTAATGAGGCTTCATAGGGTGAAGCCACTCAGTCCTTCAGAGTGGAGTCCTGGGGCCATGCTGGGAAGCAGAGCAGATACACCTAAGTCCCCCCAGAGACTGTCGTTGGCAGTACTGAGGGGCTAGCTCCTGTGTCTGCCACGTCGCCCTGACTTCCCCTCACGGAGGGGGATCGGCACAGATCGTGGTCCTTGCAGATCTGGTTGACCACTGGCCCCTTAGTGATGATGTAACACATCGAACCGGACCCCACGGGGTCACCGACACTAGGGCCACTGTCCGCAAGTGCTCACCGAGGACAGAACCATGGAACCCACCAGGACCTCGGAAAGCACCGGGCTCCTGTGAATACCCCTCTCACCTCCTGTCCTTTCTCAGCGGGCACAGCTGCCAACTGCCCATGTCTCAGGCAGCTCCACAGTCCCTTCTTGAATGTAGACCACCTGGGCTTGTTGGGAGGCAGCTCCCATCACAAGCTGGTTGGGGCCTGAGCTTCTGCATCTCTAACCAGCTCCTGGTGGCGGGTGACACCTGCTGCTGGCCTCTGGACCACACTTGAGGAGCAAGGATACCCTCCCTGTCCCTGCTGGTGTCCACAGTGCTGCTTGAAAGCTGGCTGAGTTCTCAGAGATCCAGAGGGTAGGGAGGCCAGGGGCCCGGTTCAGTTCTGCCACTTGTTTCAAATGATCTTGAGCAAATCGTATCCTTACTCTGGCCCTCAGTTTCCTCATCTGTGAAATAAAAGGTTAGGCTTGAGTTCTGGGTCCACACCAGCCATAACCTTATATGAAAACCCGCAGGTGAACTGCTAGTAGTTCCCGGTTTCACACATGGGCACCGGTCTGGAAGCAGCAGCACGGGATGGGAACTGTGCCATTTCCTCCAGAATCCATGCACCTAATGGTTGCACGTGGCCACCCCACAGCACCTGTCAGGTGGACAGCACGCCCCGTGAGGCCGCTCGCTCTGGGCCTGAAACAAGGCCTCTTTCTCACGGGCCCTCGTTCTCACAGCAAGTTCTGTGCAACAGAGGGGGCGGTGTGGCCTGTGCCCCACGGGTCACGGAGCCCGTCCCCTGCAGCGAGACAGCTTGGCCTGTAGGAGCCCCGAGCATGGAATCTGGGTGTCGCCGTGCGCCTGGGCTCCTGGCTTCCTTCGAGGACACAGGTGCATCCTGCCAGGCTGCCCTCCCTCGTCTGTCAAAGACGGGAAGCAAGCCCGTCCGCCACTTCACCAGCCTGCTGCCCGTCCACCCTCCCTGGCACGGCCGGGAGGAAGGCGTGGCATTTGAGAGCTCCGATGGTCGTGGAAACCTTAGAATGGGGCCAGAGCGGGACGGCGCTGGACCTCAGCGCAGTAAACGTCGATAGGCCTAGAGGAGAAGGGGCACCTCTGAGCCCAACAGCTGCCCGTGGCTCAGACCCACCTGCAGCATGCGCCTCTGCTGCGCGGGCCCACCTCCCTCCTGCGCTCTTGAATCTTGGACCTCACGTGCAGTCACAGAGCCTGGGTGGCTGGTCATCTTCTTCCTCCAGAGTTGCCATCTCCCCCTCAGGACCACTTCCAGGTGCATTTAGAGCCTTTCTCTCTGCCATGCTCAACCCTAAACCCACAAGGTAGGTTCCGGTTAGAAAGGCTGGGCTCCTGTGGGAAATGCTGCCTTGGACCCGGGTCTTCAGCACAGAGACAGACACACTCAGGGGCCCCAGTCACTTCTTGGCCAGTGTCTCAGCCTGTCTGGCAGGTCTCTGTGCTCTGAGCAAAAGATGGCAGCCAGCTGCCTCCTGCTTGTCTTCAGAGCACAGTAATGAATCCTCTTTTTAAATGTTTTCTCTTCTCAGGAAGTTTCTAAAAACCTCACCAAAGAAAACAAGCAAATGAAAGAGAACGTGGAAGGGATTCAAGCCGAGATGAACAAGCGAGGCCAAGAGAGCTGCTCCCAGAGCGTGGCGGGCGGCCTCCCGGCCGGGGGCCCGGCCCTGCAGAGGGATGCGGCGGCCTACGCCCACCCCGAGGTACAGCCCCCGCGCAGGAGCGCCCGGCTTGCAGAGCCTTCACACCCGATGCTGTCACAGGCATGGTCCCGTTCATCCCAGGGCACCTCTGTGGACAGGATGGGGTGGGTCGACCTGTTTTACCCAACATGAGGCCCAGAGAGGTTCGGGGATTGTGTTGAAGGCACGATCCAGCTGGAAAGCGGGCCGGACAGAGGTCATAGCCTCACTTTGCAGGTGAGCAGACAGAACTGGGAGAGTTCAGGGTCCCCCTTACTCAGTGGTGGCAGGGGTCTCAAACCTCCGTCTCTGCTCGCCCAGCTGTGTCCCTGCATGACGTCGCTGTGCATGAAATGGTCACTGTCTGAGGAGATTTGAGCGACACCCACAGACCCTCCTGCTTCAAAGTTCCTCCCCTCCGGTGCCCGTTTGTTCTGGCTCCAGTTACTAGGTTACGTCTCTGTGCTGGTGGTTAGATGTTATCCCCTAAGTGGATGCCCAAGAAACAGGCATTAATTTGGGAGCTAACCCAAAAGACTGGAGGAAACACGTCAAGAGTGCGGGTGCCACCAGGGAGGCAGGTCAGCATGGGAGAGGTGCCTGGCCCCCTGGGGAGCAGCAGTGACAGCTACCTCGCTTACCTTCCCCCAGGCCACCGGTCAGGCAGGGCATGGGTAGGGCCAGGCCCGGGGCTGCCATCAGGTGTGGAAGGCTGGGTGGCACTGCCTGTGGGCCCTGCTTCCTGGGTCATCAAGCACTGGAGTCCGTGGGTACTAAGCCTGGCCATGGGCCTGGGACTCCTGGGCAGAGCAACGTCAAGCAGTGCCGGGTGGCAGTGCCAAGATTTGGGACATCGGGCACATGTGCTCTGAGGGCAGGACGCAGCGGATTAGCCCTGAGGACAGCACAGTGCCTGCACCCTGCCCAGCATGTGACTCAGAACAAAACCAGCCCCAAACCAGAGTATAGGAAGGCCTCTCCTTTCCTGGTTTTGCCATGGTGACTGCTTTGATGCTTTTGGGAAATATCATATTCCTTCAAAGATTATATTCATCCCCATCTCAGGGTGTCCCAATGTGGTAGCTACTGGGCATGTGCCTAGTCTGCTTGGTGAGACACCCCAAGCACGGCTGAGCTCAGAACCTCAGAGCCAAGGGTGTCTGGGCTGGAAGGGAACCTGGAGGCGCCTTTCGCGGCCTGTGGGTGCCCTCGGCCTGCCTGATGCCCAGTGCAGGCTGCCACTCCCTGCCCTCCTGGCCTCCCGTGTCCCAGGCGGCCAAGCTCGAGAGTCACCCACTGTCTCGATGACACATTATGTGGTGTGTTCAGGAACCAGCTCAGATTTCCTGAGGGCAAACAGCAAACCAACTCAAATACCAGACTTTTCTCCTTGCTCAGCAGAGCCCTGTCCTCTCTGAGGTCCCAGTCATCACACTGCTGCAGGCAGCACAGTCCATTCAAACGGCAGCGGGGACAGAGCCAGGCCAGCGAGGGAGGAGGGGCCGAGGCTGGGCCTTCCTGTCTCTCTCACCCCGTCCCTTCAATGTGCCCCATGATGATGGGACGAAGTGAGTGTCTGGGTTTAGTTAGTATTTTCAGGGTTCTTGTAGATGATGTCACGGTTTCTCAGAATGGTGGCTGACAATTCTGGGGGCTTCTTTCCAAGAAGGTCCTTGCCTGGAGGGTTGGTAACAGCCCTGGGCACCAGCTAGAATAGAGGGTGGCTGGACACCAGGAGTTGCAGTCACACAACAGAGTCTTGGATTAACAGAGAAGGGATCTGAGATTGGTGGCGCCGCTGTGGCCCTCACGGCCTATAGCCAGGAATTGGGGAAATGACACATTCTCTGGCTGGGTCTGTGCAAGGTCTTGCCCCATCCCCTTGGCTCCAAGAAGGAGCCACAGCCCCACCCATCCCTGAGAGCCCAGAATTAAAGGCAGCTCCTGGGGCTTGCCTCAGGGAAGCGGCAGCGGCTTTTGAAATGCAGAGGGCACCAGGGCCCAGCAATTAGATGGCTCTAGGTGTCTGAGTCAAGGCCTGGGTCTTTCGTCTGCCTCCCAGGCAGCTCTGTCCGGCGGGAAACCGGTATCCCCAGGCCTGCTGGGCACCAGCCAGATGTGACCCTGAGGACCGGGGGACGTGGAGAGGTTCTGGAGACACGAGTTAGTCCTGTGGTCATGGCTGTGACCCTGTGACTTCATGCAGGGAAAAACTCAGGCTCCGAAGGCAGGCATCCCTGGGCCTGCTGAACGGCCATGTGACAGTAGGTGCCCCTCTCAGCCACTAACTGAATGACCTTCAGTGAGATTGCTCCAAGCTGCTGAGCCTCTCTCCTCATCAGTTAAACGAGAATGATAGTATTGACCTGCCCCAGTGTGAGAGAGGTGGAAAATAATCTAAAGGGACCTGTCTGGCCTTGTAGGTGCTCACTAAAATGCATCCTTTGCACCTCTGGTAAAGGTCACCTCGATGGCCAGAAACAGGAAGTGGGAGTAGGGAGCAGGAGTGGGGCCGGGTGCCTCTGGGCACCTATCAGGCCCCAGCCAGTACCCCTGCCTTCCAGGGCTCGGTCTCCACTGCGTGCCAGGAATGCATGTCTGGTGCGCCATCTGGGCAAATTCATCACGGGAACCCAGCGCAGACCTGGGGTGTGGCTGGGAGCGAGGACTCCACGTTTCCTCCAGGGCAGATTTTAAAGGTCAACACGAGAGCCCGATCTGCTCCTTCCTAAGCAGAGTGAGAACGTTGGCCATGATACCAGGGATTCCTGCCAGCTGACACTCAGTGACCCCGAAGGGCTGCTCTGCCCCTCAGGTCTCCGGGCATCTGGGGACAGAGGTTTTGTTTCCAAGTGGCTCTGCTCTCTGGGTGGATTTCACCGCAGTTGAGAGTGGCAGGATCTCAGGGAGTGTCCACCATGAGAGGGGCCTTTCGTGGCTTTGGTGGCTGAGAGCAGAGCTGGGCCACACCCCTTAGGTCCCCACCGCTTCCCCGATGGGGCCACCACCCTTAGGATCTGGATCTCTGGGTGGCCCTGACTCTGAGCACACCAGCTCACAGACCCTGCTCAGTAACCTGTGTGCCTCAGTTTCCTAATCTGTAAGTGGGGGCCATAGAACAAGTTCCTGCCGGATCAGCCCGTCCTTGGTGTGCCCTGGGCTCTGGCACTGTCCCACCTGGCCAGTGACCTGACTCCGTGTCCCCTCTGTGTAACAGTACGAAGAGAGGTTCCTGAGGGAGGAAACTGTTTCCCAGCACGTCAACTCCATCGAGCTCCCGCGGACGCAGCCACTGTCTCCGCCCGAGCTGGTGCCGCCACAGCGGCCCCTCCAGAGGCGGGTGCACCTGCGCGGCCGGCCGGCCTCCCAGCCCACCGTTATCCGGGGCTTCACCTACTACAAAGCCAAGGAGCCCGAGGGCGAGAATGACATAGAAGAGCAGCGTGAGTGGGGGGGCCAGGGAAGGCGGGAGGGAGCCTCGTGCTTCTGCAGTCTGCTCACTGCTGCACCCCGAGGTGGCTGCCTGTCACCCGAAAACTCCCCCCAGTCACAACCCTTGGGTGTGCCTGTCCCTTCCCCAGGGGCCTTGGGCCTCATGACTGACACTCGGCACTTCCCCTCCCCTCCATCCTCGCCTTCCCCAGAAACATGCTGGCTTTTCCTCATCTTTATCTGGTTCCCCAAACTCTCCTCTCCCACCCTCCTCTCCCCTCCCCAGCACCCCGAAGGGTCCAGTCCCTAACTCATCCTTGGCTCTGCTCACCCAGTTGCTGCCATAATCATTTTGCCCATTTTTAACTATTTGTTGTCTTTTTTATCATTGATTTGTGGGAAGCTTTTTGTGTATTCTGGGACAAGTGCCTAGCGAGTCAGGTGAACTGCCACACTCTCCCTGCTGTGACCTGTACCTCAGTCCCTCAGGGAGCCTATGAGGAGCAGAGGAGACTTACTGTCACCCACTTCTGTTGTGGTCACACCTCTGTGTCCCTAGGAGGCTTGTGCCTCCCACATTCCTCCTCTGCTCAAACCCTGCAGACTCCCCGTTTCACTTGGTTCAAACAGAAGCCCACACACAGCGCCCAGGCCCCACGACCAGCTCCCAGCGCCCTCTGCCCTCACTTCCCGTTACCCCCACCTCGACCCTCCACTTTGTCCGCACTGGCTGCCGGCTGCCCGCAGCCTCACAGGCATGTTCCGGCCCCAGGACCTTTGCCCAGCCACTGTTTCCCCCAGAGCACTCTTTCCCTGTACCTGCTTGGCTAACTCCCTCATGTCCTTCAGGCCTCTGCTCGTGCCCCCTTCCCGGTCAGCCATCCTGACACTAACTCCCTGTCACTGCAGGTCCTGCACCCTCCTCGCCCGTCGGCCTCCCTCCCCACGCGGTCCCTGCACGATCGTGTCCTCTGTTCACGCATCCCCACCAGTGGCTCCGGGAGGGCGAGGATCTTACTCTGCTCACTCTTGTTCCTGCCCCATAGCTGTCAGCTGAGTGGATGGATGGGTGGCCTGGCTTCCTCCCTGACTGTCCTCCTGGTAGTCAGAGTCCCCGGGAGAGAGCCTGTCCGGAGCGCCTTCACACCATGCCCCCACTCACCTTCTTCTTGGGGCTCTATCCCCAAGTCAGGGCGTCATTTTGGGGGAAGAAATCTCTTATCAACCCGCAAAGTGCTGTCTGCTCTTGGTCCTCTAACGGCCATTCTCTCCTGCACCCACGTGACCCTGTTTGTTTCCCAGAGGACGAGTTTTTCAGCGGTGACAGCGGAGTGGACTTGCTGATTGAGGATCAGCTGCTGAGCACTGCACCCCGCAGGCCCCCAGCCACCCGTCATGGTGCTGCTGTGACCACCGATGCAGGCACCGAGGCCACAGCCCTGCCTTCTGCAAGGTCACCGGCCTCCACCTCGGCCCCCAGCGTCCCTACCATCTCTGCCTCAGCTGACCCAATCTCCACACCACTGCCAGCCGTGTCCGAGTCTCCAGGCCCCCCAGGGGAGACAGTCCTCCCACCTTCCACTCAGGTGCCAGCCACCACTGTGGCCCACACGGCCACCCAGCCACCTCCAGCCCTGGCTTCTCTGCCATTGGCTCCTGCAGACACATTTCTGGGGACCCCACACTCAGCCTCGGTGCCTCCCAGCACGGTCGGGACAGACTCGCTGGGGAAGAAAGACACTGCTAGGCAGGGCACAGCCCCCGCCAGCCCCACCCTGCACCCAGAGGAGGGTGACATCCGGAATGTCATAGGTGAGCTCTCCTGGCCTGGTCTCCCAGTCAGCTCAGGTGAAAGGCCGAGCCTGGATATGGGTTGGAACCAGACGGTGGGACTGCTCCTGAGAGTGGGCAGCAGTGCTCGGCCTCAACACCCGGGTGATGTACCCAAGAGGGACGGCATCCTGTCTAAAATTCACAGGACCCAACAGAGCCGAGACCTTGGCCTCCTGAGCTCTAGACACTTGGCAGTGCATCCTGCGTGGGGCACTGGGTATATGGGTGTCAAGTGAAGTGAGGGTTTGCAGTGAGTTAGTCAGGCCGTGGTCCTACTGTGTGACCCTCTGGATCCTGATGGGTGGGGCAGGGGAGCGGGTGCCGCCTTCTCCTTGTCCTGCATGGGGGATGGCTGACTGCAGCGTGGGGCCGTCCCTCTGCATGGACAGTCCGAAGCTGCAGACACCCTGGGGTCTGAGGAGGGTCCCATTCTACCCAGCTCTGGCAACTGTGACCATGCTCCTGGGACTTATCCCTGAACCCAGCACCGCCCCTTTGCCATGGTGGCAAACACCCTGGGGTCCTCTTCCTCCACCACAGCACCCTTGAGGGGGAGGGAAGCACACCCAGAAACAGGAATCTGCCCCCTCCGCCCCCTGCCTTCGGCTAGAACACAGTGCAGGCTGCAGGTGGCCCCACATCTGAGTGCCCAGGGAGGCGTTTACCTGCCTGGGAGCGACCTTCCGCACGGCTCCCCAGCAGGAGTGGAGCTCTCCACTGCCCTCCCCCACCCCTGCCTGGTCCCACACCCAGCCTCTGTCCGCCCATCCCTGGGTGTTCCCACTAGTGGGGTTTTCTGGTGTGACCCCAGCATGCACCCTGCTGGGGTTCTCTGGGCTCTGCCCCCTCCAGCAGCCTGGCTGAGATGCTGAGGCCCCGATGGGAGGTGTCCTGGCATCCAGGGGCCACAGAAGCTGGGGGGTGGGGTACATTCTCTCTTGTTGGTCACTATCCTGTTCAACTGGAGGGACATCATCACAGAGGATAAGTGCCTGGCCCTCAGGACTAGCCTGTTGGCCTTTCAGAGCTGGGTGCTGCCTTTTGCTTCTGCTGCACAGAAAACACAGGGATGTGGACACAGGCGTTGTCCTTTAACCCCAAGGGGGACAGGCCGGCTCTGTGGGTGCCGTGTGTTCCTGCACTTCTGTTTCCACGAGCCACTGATCACTGCCGTGCCTGTCCAGGGCTTGTCGTGCGTGGCATTTCCTCTCCAGAACCTTCTCTGCAGATCTGCCACGCCTGTGCCTGGCCCAGTGGGACCACCCCCCATTATCAGTTACATGACAGTCGCGTGGCTGAAACGGCCACGGCCACTGATGTGCTGCCCGAGAAGGTTATTTGCTGGTTAATGAGTCTGGCAGTCTTGATTTTGGGCTGAGATGTGTGGCTACTTTTAAAAGAAACATTCTATCCCACGGTTTCCAGACCTGATTTTGTGATCTCCCAAAAGGTCAACCATTTTCCTCGGGGGAGTTGTAAAACTCTAGACAAATTCCAGAACAAGAAAATTAGAACTGACTTCTGATTGTTTAAACAAGCGTTTGGTGAAAGCGTAGCTCCAGGATGGGGAAGAGAGAGGCAGGCAGGATGGGGGCTGGGCCTGCAGACCGAAGGGAAGGTCCCCAGCCACAGGCCCGCGGGCGCCATGTGAGCAACGCCAGCGGAAAGCAGCTGTGCCACACAGCCCAGGCTGAGGGGACTCCGACTTTGAGGACGGCAGTTCCTGGCTTGGAAGGGGCTGGCTGGGGGAGGGGGAGCACAGAGAACAGTTGGCACAACAGCAGGGACAGCCTGTGTCTTACTGAAGCTGGGAAATACCACCATCAGGGAGAATGTCTCCCCCACAAAGCACCCACCTCAGCCCCCCGAGACTTGGCTGGCTCTGGCTGTGGGCCGGGATGGGCTGCCTGCCATGAGACCGCTCGGGGGCGGTGCTGCCCCGAGCCAGACTCCGGACCAGGGGCTGTCCCGGTCGGTGCCCTAAGTCCCTTGACTGGCGCTCCACTGTGCACCTGTGCAGCCTCCCAAACTGAATCCTCCCCGCTGCCTGACCAGGGCCTAGGGATCTACTGCAGAGCCGCCTGGACCCTGCCACTGTCCTCCCACTGCAGGGTCTGCTGGAAACCACCTTCCACCCCCAGCGCCTGGCAGCCCTGTCCTGACCATGGTGCTCCTTCCTCCACCACTGACGGGACGCAGGACAACGGAACAGACAGGGACCGTTTGGAAATGGGGGTGGCCTGGAGTTTAGGGCACCTGGATCGGAACTGTAGCCCTTTGTGAGTGTGAGGGAGCAACTGTTCTGTTCCCGGCTGCCCGTCTGTGGCCCCAGCTTGACGCTGGGAGTGTGTGTCCTGCTGGTCCCGCTGCAAGGCCCACAGAGCTATGACAGCGAGACTCCTCCGCCTTCCCCAGGCCACGGGTGCGGCAGGGACAACACATGCCTTCCACCATCACACGTGGTCTCGGTCACTCAGGACACTTCAGGCTTCCAACCAGTCCTGGAGCCTAGTATGTCCTAGTGGCAGGGCCTCTCCTGGGCACCAGGTTGCTCCAAAGAGCCCCTCAGAATATTGCTGAGTTCCTGTCCCACTAAAGCAGACTTGACCTGAGGAGGAGGTCCCACCCCAGAGCAAGCACCCTGCCAGCCACGCCACTGAAGGCAGAGAGCCTGCATCCAATGCACAGCAGTGATGGGCACAGGCTTGAGGACAGCTGTCTAGACCTGGCAGGTGGCCTCAGGGGCATGAACGTCCCCTGCTCAGGCAGGGCTGGTCTCTGCGCCCCAAACAGCCTGGGCCAGCCCCCTTGGGCACCTCAGTGGCTGATGGACCATGTTCCTGGTCATCCCCTCAGAGCCCTGGCCTCAGGTCACACCGGTCACACTGCCATGTTCTCATCCAAGTCTCAGACGTCTGCCTGTGCCTGGGGAGGGGAGCGAGGCACTCACACTGCTAAGAAGATGTGTCTTGTAGGAGGAGCGCTCACAGCACCCTGGGAGCAGGCCATGGTGTCGGGAAAGGACACAGAGCTGAGATCCTTGGGGACAGGTTTGGGAATCAGATGTCGGAGGCAGCGGGAGGGAAGTGTGGGGTGACAGTGGCCCAGGAGAGCGACAGGATGCTGTGAGAGGGAGGCCGAGAGAAAGAGCAGGAGCGAAGGCTGAGAAATGTCCGGTTGGGTTACTTGGGGATGAACATGCCAAGGAGTCCAGCCTCCAAGTGGGGAACTAGCCAAAGGCTTGGGGGGCTTTCTTCCCTCACCCTTACCCCCCTCTCCCCTAGGAAGGTGCAAGGACACACTGTCCACGATCACGGGGCCTACCACCCAGAACACATATGGACGGAATGAAGGGGCCTGGATGAAGGACCCGCTGGCCAGTGACGAGCGGATCTACGTGACCAACTACTACTACGGCAACACGCTGGTCGAGTTCCGGAACCTGGAGAACTTCAAGCAGGGTGCGTTCTGGGGGCCCCTGGAGGCCCTTCCTTCCGCTGGGCTCTGCCTCAATCATGGCTAGTCTGGGGGTGACCAGGGCCAAGAAAGGGAGCTCTCTGCCATTGATGGGGCCTTCCCTGGAGATGGGATGGTGTGGAATCGGGACCTCCTTTCCCATGGCCCCAACAGCTCGCCACCACGTTCACGTGGGGTAGCACCCGGGTCCCTGAAACAGCACAGTGAGGCGAATGGCTCCGGCCATTTCTATGGGACAGATGAGGGTGCTGGGGTGTGGAGAGGTTGAGTTATTGGCTGTAAAATGTAGAAAGTGGGGAGACCAATACAAACCTGGGTGGCAGACCCCTCACTCATCCCAGCACCTGGGCCGCCCGCCTGAGCCCCGCCTTGTCCCCACAGGCCGCTGGAGCAACTCCTACAAGCTGCCCTACAGCTGGGTGGGCACGGGCCACGTGGTGTACGGCGGGGCCTTCTACTACAGCCGGGCCTTCACCCGCAACCTCATCAAGTACGACCTCCGCCGCCGTTACGTGGCCGCCTGGGCGATGCTGCACGACGTGGCCTATGAGGAGGCCACGCCTTGGAGCTGGCAGGGCCACTCGGACGTGGACTTTGCCGTGGACGAGAATGGGCTGTGGCTCATCTACCCGGCCCTGGATGACCAGGGCTTCAGCCAGGAAGTGATCGTGCTGAGCAAGCTCAATGCCGTGGACCTGAGCACACAGAAGGAGACAACGTGGCGCACAGGGCTCCGCAGGAACCTGTATGGCAACTGCTTTGTCATCTGTGGGGTGCTGTACGCCGTGGACAGCCACAACCAGCGCCATGCCAACATCTCCTATGCCTTCGACACCCACACGAACACGCAGGTCGTGCCACGGCTGTTGTTTGAGAACGAGTATTCCTACACCACCCAGGTCGACTACAACCCCAAGGACCGTCTGCTCTACGCCTGGGACAATGGCCACCAGGTCACCTACCACGTCATCTTCGCCTACTGACCCCCAGCCTGCACGGATGTGCCCGGGCCGCTGCACCTTGTGTGCGCATGTGTACGTGCATGTGTGCGCATGTGTGCGTGTGTACGTGTCTGTGTGTACGTGTGTGTGTGTGTGTGCGCGCACACGCGCAGATGGGTGAGTGCTGTTCAAAAAATATATATTATTTTGTATAATGTAAAGTGACAGTTTGGGTCTATTTTTTTTATATGGGTTGTAGATCAACCCATACATGTATGTGCTGGTCTCATCCTTCACAGTTTATATTTTTGTGCAAATGAACTTCTCCTTTGACCAGTGACCACCTTCCTCCGAGCCCTCTGCCCCTCCAGCTCCCAGGTCTCCACAGCGAGGTCTCCACGTGGGTCTTGTGGCCGAGGCACCCGGAGCGGGAGTGGAGGAGGCAGGAAGGAAGTGCTAAGGGGCAGGGAAATTTTATGTACTGGAGAAGTTTTAAAAACCCAGAAAACGCTTTTTAAATAAAGAATGAATTTAAAATGACCACCCCCAGTGTGTTTCTGTTTAGTGCTGATGGGCCCCTCACCGGGAAGAGGCACCCAAGACATGGGAACCAGTCCATCCCTGTCCTCTTCACGCGGGTGATGCTGGGTGCTGTTGAAACAGCTGAGGGTGTGACCTCCTCCCTCCTTTCCTGGAAACTCTGTCCCCACAGCCCTGTCCTCACCTGGACACTCACACCCAGCCAGGCTTCCCTCCCTCTGAGGGGCCGGCCGGCGACGGGACGCGGGCTGCAGCCCCAGCACTGCCTGCTGCCCCCAGGCTTGCCCTGTCATCCACAGGACACGGGGGCAGGAAATGACTCGAGAGGCTGCGGGAGGACATGGGGAGATGAGCCCACCGTGTCTCCACACTGTCCCCACGTGTCCCGCCTCGCCACCACACCCTCCACTAAGAGACTTAAGATAGGATGACTTTTCCAAAGTTCAGCTCGCACACGACTCCCTGTGACGGACCAGACTTCTTCTCATGCCAGCTGCCAGGACCGGAGGGCCGCAGTGCCCCGTGGCGGGCGCCCTTAGGCGTCCCTGCTGCCTCTGCTTCGCTCTGGTCCCAGGCTAGTCTCCAGGCTGTTCTCTCTGCGTCGCCAGCTTGGTGTTGCGTGGTTTGTGGTCTGTTTCCCTACAGAATGGAGACGAGCTGTGACGTGAGCAAGGCCATCTGCCTGGGTGTTTTCCTGCCGGAAGGCTAGTCTGGGAGCCACGGAGACACAATGCCACGCAGTTTCCCAGGAGTTCTCTGCTTTTGACGCTTTCCCCAAAAGTTGTATCAGACTTGCCCGCACAGCAATCTGACCTGTGGTAGAACAGTTGT